TCGTATATATATATATATATATATATATATATATATAAATTCAAACCCTGTAGTCTTTTATCAAATTAATTTTTTAGCTGTCTAGGTTCGACAGTCGGAATCTAGGTGAAAAGGCCGCCAGCGAAAGAGTGCCGGACGTTAGGTCGCCAACCATCAAAATCAAGATCACCAGACGTTATAAAGTAGAAAAATTAAAAATTTCTCTAATGTTTGAAATTCTATGTACATACTGCACTAAATTCGATAACACGGGCTGAACCGAAAAGTAACCGAAAACCGTTAAAAACCGAAATTTTGCTCGGAACTAAAATCGTAACCAAACCGAAATATTATTTGCAGCTTTATCGAAACCGTAATGAAATAAATAACAACGGTTCGATGCTAAAATTCTAAAACACAATTTTTTTGCCAAATTCAGAAAAAGTTTTTAGATGATATTTTGTCTTTTAAATTCAACATTTATTTTTATAATCTTTGAAAAAATGTGTTATCTTTCTTTTCATTAGCTTTTTGAACTGAGTTCGCTGATCATTTCACCTCCACACTTAATAACCTCATATCAATCACATCATCACAAAAAAGCTTTCAAACATTTCACGCACTCAAAACACTCCGCTCACATGGTCTCAGAGGCATCAAATTATTCGACATCATTGAATCACTCATAGTCTCACGCACCAAATATGCAGCTCCATCCTGGTCTGGTTTTGCTACAAAACAACTTAAGCAACTACAATCTTTCATCAAAAAACTAATCCGCTTTAACTATCTACCTGCATCATATCCTACCGTCACTCAGATATTCAACACAGTCGATTTAAGACTGTTCAAGAAAGTAGAAAATAACAACAACCACATCCTCCATCCTCTACTACCACCAATTAAAACTACAACACATAACCTTCGTCAACCCAAACATAACTATCAAGTTGCCACCCAATCTACATATCAGGAAAAGACTTTCATCACAAGACACCTCAAACATATTAACACTCAATAAAACTTTATCATTCACCAACTAGTTTTTTTTATTTAATAAAACTTTATCATTCACACAACTAGTTTGTATTTATCGATCACCTCACAAGCTCACTAAGTCTATTAATTTGCGTTTTTATGCCATTACTTCATTTTATTGTCAATTTATTTCATTTTCTTTTATTTATTTTATTATTATCATTTATTATATTTTTCACGTTAAAACATTTTTCTTTCTGCGATTTTTATTTATTTACTTATTTAATTTTGTACTACTGCCTTCCATCCTCTAACAGTTTCGGCGTCTGCCAGATCCTGATTTTGAAATAATAATAAAAAAAAAGTGAGAATGGTCACGTGAAGAAGAATTCAATATAATCGGAGAAATTAGAGATCAAGTACGATCATTTTCAAAATCTTTGGAATTTACAATTTGCAAAAAAGTTTGTCAATTATTTTAATTTTTATAGATTAATTAAATTTTTCGTTCTGTTTACTTTTTTTTTACAAATTTAATAAATTAAACATTAAAGGTAAAGTCGGAAATCCGCGGTGCTATCGGTTTACATTGTCAATGCTACGCCGTTTTTTTGCAATTTTTCCGAGTTAAAATCCTAAACATTAACAATAAACAACTTTAATGACAACAATAACAATAAAAAGTGCGAGTTTTCAAGAGTGGTGAGGGTTTTTTAATGATTTTTTCAAGTAGGAGCAAAGTTAGTTTATTTCCGAGTTACTAAATTTTGCCTTTAAGAAATGTTTAAAAGTTATTTTTATATTAATATCTTATAAATTTAGAATGAGACGAAACCGAAAAAACGCCATTCGAGAATTTTTAAATATAATAAAATGGAAAATAAAAGCTGTTATGACAGGAGATCATGCTGCCAAATTGAAACGTCATTTGAAATGTAGCCATGATGAAGAGTTTGAAAGTGTTCAGCAAAGAAAAAATTAAAGCATGATGAAACAGCTATTGCCAGAATTACAGAGATAATCCTATAAAAACACTAGACAAATTCGTCAAATCAAATTTTTTGAAAGTTCAGTTGAATAAATAAAGTTCAGTCGTTAAAGCGTGTATTGAACTTATCATAATTATTGGATGTTCTTTTGAAATGATGGAATATTCAGGATTTAAAAATTGTCCTGAGCATGACATAAAACTGCATCCACGCACCCTGCGTGCTTTTGAGTAAAAGGCTAGGCCTACCGCTTATAACTGGTGGTTGTCGTCAGGATGGGTGTCCGGATGTAAAAACTTTCCCCAAATTATTCTATGTCATCAAAAACAAAAACAACGGCTCCTAGTTTCCAGCAGGCCTTAAGTGGTCAAGGGGTGCTAAGAATCCCTGGGAAGCATGCAATAGCGGAGGGATGTTGCAGAAAAATTCAGAAAAGCACCTCTATGGTACTTAGACTTGGAACGCTCAATATTGGATCACTGACTGGGCGTAGCATAGAAATTGCAGAAATCCTCGAGCGTAGAAGGATTGACATCTGCTGCCTTTAGGAGACCCGATGGAAATGGTGTCAGTCATATCAACTCAGACATCAGACAAAGAAAAATATAAACTATTCTAGAATGGTCTCATGTGGATCAAGCTTCGCCTAGAAACGCAAACAATGACTATTTTTTTCTGCATACGCACGACAGATAGGCGAATCAGAATAGATGAAAAATGACTTCTGGGATGCGTTCTCTCACACCATCCCAACAACACCAAAATCTGAAACAATCCTGATTGGAGGCGATCTCAATGGCAACGTTGGAGAAAAAACAGATGGTTTTGACAACGTACATGACGGTTGTGGCTATGGAGAACGGAATGCAAATTTCAACAGATTGTCGCAACACAGTTAGACCACCGATCGCAAGTCAGTACTGATTGTAGTACATACAAAACCGTTTTGATAAACGCTGCAACTACAGTTTGAGGGAAAACTGGTACAAAACGTCAGCATGAACGGGACACTTGGTGGTGGAATGACAGTGTACAAAATGCAATAGCTGAAAAGAAAGCTGCATACAAGCAATGGCAAAAATCAAAGTCTGTTGATGACCATACAATTTTCCGTGAGAAGAACAACTATGCAAGAAGTCAAGTCGCACTGGCTCGGACTGATCAGTGCACAGAGTGGCTCGCTAAAAGCAAAGGTGGAAAAATGAAATTTCTGTATCCTATAGCAAAACAAGCAAAGCCTACGAAACAAGACATAGTTGGTGCAACGTGAATCAAAAACGACAAAAATGAGATGGTTCTTGAACAGGATGAGATCAAGCTACAGTGGTTCCAGACATCACTGTAGAGGAGCTTACAGAAGCTCTGAAAGCTATGAAGGATGGAAAAGCAGCAGGGCCCTCTGGACTCACAAATGACATTATCAAATCATCTGGTACTGCAGATATCCAAACGTTACAACACTTTGCCGTGAAGTGTGGAGAAATTGCTCAATTCCGACTGAACGGAACTATAGCATGACAGTTCCGCTATACAAAGGCAAAAGTGATCCATTGAATTGTTGATCAAATCGGGGTATACGTTTGTTAGAACACTCCCTGAAAATTGTCAAGAAAATCACTGAGAAAAGATTAACGTCGTGCATCACATTCAGAAATTATCAATTTAGTTTCCTGGAGAGGAAATCAACAATTGATGCAATTCACATCCTTCGGCAATTGCAAGAAAAGTACCTCGCAAAGCATCAACAACTATCACACATTTTTGTAGACTTTGAAAAAGCATTTGATCGAGTTCCCCGTGAAGCAATCAGGTGGAGTCTATGTCGAAAACTCATTCCAGAAGATCTTGTTCAACTTGTGATGGTATATGGCTTACGAATACTAAGACTTTCGTAAGCTCAACGGTTGGAAACACAGATGCATTTGACATCGGCGCTGGAGTTCACCAAAGCTTGATTCTCAGCCCACTATTTATAACTGTGATGGAAGAAATCACAAAACCGATACGCACTGGTGACATTTGGAATCTAATATATGCTGATAATATCGTTTTAACAGCCACATCAGAGCAGACTGGCCAATCATGGATTCAAAGTCAACATCAGCATGACCAAAGCAATTAACACTGGTGAATCCATCCAATCCACAGCTACTGGCCCTGTTCAGTTTGTAAAGCTGGTGTAGGAACCAATTCAATCAAGTGTCAGCAGCTTAACCAGTGGAGACACAAACGTTGCTCTAAAATAATTGGTACTTTATATAAATGTACAATTTTTTTTGTCTTGCTACAATCCACAAGAACAAATTCGAAATAGCAATGTTTTTGAAGCCATTAAGGTATAAAAAGTTACATCGTTTCAATATCTAGGGGATGTTCTGGTTTGTACTGGAACAGCTGAAGTTGCCGTTCGAACACGCATAAGAGCAGCCTGGAATAAATGGCATCTCCTTGCCTCTATATTGATGCGGCGTGACATCCCACTACCACTATGATCAAGATTTTATAAATCTGTGATACGTCCGGTCTTGTTATATGGTGCAGAAACATGGCCAATGACAACCAAACTGGAACAACAACTTCAACGAACCGACATGAAAATGCTCCGATGGATGCAACGAATTAGTCTGAAGGACCACATCAAATCTACCGAAATCCTGCGTCCTGCCGGTTTAGATGATATAAAGGACAAATGCCGGCAACACCGTCTGCGGTGGTTTGGTCATGTCAAACAAAATGGAAAAACAAAATGAACATCTCTTGCAGATGTTGAAGTACCTGGCACACGTCCCAAATGGCGTCGAGGGGTATTTCGGTTTCATCATAGGTAGCTAAACGGCAATGTCGTCTAAATGCGATCCAGAGTACAAATTTTGACATTTCCACGCGAAACCGAAACAAAAAGCATTCAAGTATTATCATTTTAGGTTTAATCCATTGTATTATTTTTTTGTAGGTTTTTTTTTACTAATTTTCCTCCACGGTCAGTAAAAGTGTCATTAATTTTTATTGTAGATTTTTATTTGTTAGACAGACTCCAGGCTCGATTTGCGCATACTAGTTAATAATTAGTAATTCGGTCGTAGCAATTCGAAACGTATAATTAAATAAATTTGATTTCAAGTGAATATATAGACAAAAAATAAATAAATGCATTTGTGCATTCATATATAAATTTATATTCACTTGTTCTCTGATTATAAGTTTATATTGTTCTACAATGTTATCATGCTGCACATTCTTGTCATGATCTGTGTCATTTGTAGTGGTAACTGCTTTTAATACTTCATCTGCGTCATTGAAATAAGAATAGTTGCTGATAATTTAAATCATTATTATTTTACTATTATTAATCTATCTTAGATTATTATAACCTCTGAGGTTATTATAACCAAAAACACAGTATAAACGTGATTCAATGCATCACACACATTTCGCATGTGATAAGCGAAGATCTCTTTACATTCGAACCAGGTCACTGCATCACAATGAAATATGAAATAAAATCCGTAAATATGAAAAAAATTTAAAAAAAAATCATACTTTCAAGTTTTTTAAATAATCTAGTAAATTCAAAATCAAATATGACTTCTGAAGGCTCGTTGCACATTATGTTAGGAGCTTTTGATGCTTTACTATAACTTTCATGTTTAGAAACCTGAGACAACATATCTGCATACTGTTCAACACCAATACGTTTCTCAATTATTTGGCGAAGATCAGATCTAGTTACAAACAAAAATAGCTGCATTTTTATTTTTTAAAAATTGATCAAGCTAGTTTAAAATTAAAATTAATTATTAATTAATAAGCTCACTACTTAACTGTAAAAACTGAATAGTATAGATGAGTTAACTAACTTGTGGAATGAATGCACTTGATTGTTATTGAAAAGAACAAGTATCCCAAGCAAGAATGCGCATAATCCTCGAATGATCATTTCGTTTTCATCGCCCTCCGACGATGAAACATGAGATATCAACTATTTTATAAACGCTAATTAAGGAATAGCAAAAATCTGAAGGGTTATATTATATTTATTTTATATTTGTAAAATTATCATTTCGAAATGAGAAGAGAAACAAGACATGTGTTTCAAATTAATTCGGCATTTACGGGAAAAAACGACAAAGAGCAAATAAATAAATGAAAGTGCTGAAGAATAAATAAATTTGAAAAGGAATGTCTTGTTTTATTCTTGTTCTATTCTGTATTTGTTTTGCTTTGTCTTTGTTCAGTTTTACCCTGTTATGTTTTATCGTACTGTTTTATCTATAGTATGCGACAATTGTCCAATGAATCAGTCACCGTACAACGACCTTGGTGTCTCAGGACCGGTGAATCTTTTATGTCACTAAAATTGTCACTAAAGTACTCCTTGTACATGACTATGTGCATGTATTCAAAAACATTCGAAATAACTAAATCACCGAACCAAAACAGGTTTTTTATTTTACAAAAGATTGTCAGAGTTTCATGGCACACCGGCTTGATGTGAAAACCATGTACGATAGCTGTATGCCTCCCAAAACTTTCTTAAATACCAGTACATCCCAAAATCCTGCAACGTCAGAGTGTACCTTGCGCCATGATTTCCATGAAAAGATAGCATCAGCGTAACTTACCTCGAAAGAAAAACTGCATGTGGTTTAAGATGAGGTTTAATATTAAAGACCGGTACAATACTTTAAAACTTCGTGACGTCAGCAAAACAGTTTCAGTGTGACAGCTTTTAGATGCTCTTAGACATGTATGATGTCATTGCAGGCTGTCTTAAATGGGTCTGGTGTACGACAATGCAAACTCATCAATATGCATTCTGTAACCAAACTCTCAAAGAAGAAAAAAAGGAAAAATTTTCAAATGAATGTGTTGTCAGTATAGGCGACATAGATTTATTCCTGCAATCTGATGTCAGATTGAAGCACTACCATAGCTGGATTATCTGTCACTAAAATTTTCCTATGTTGAGCACGACATTGAAAATGAAGCGACCGTATAGCCATCGTTCAAACTTAACCGCAAAATTACTGTCATATATGGATGCACCAATTGCTAATGACAGAACAGCTTGTAAAACAATGTTTGTAGGTGAAAACTGAAGTTTATGATAAAAGCGAGAATAAGTTGGGTTGTTTACGACAGACAAAAATTTCAAATAAACCTAAAGTTGTCACGCTATAAAAAAAATTAAAAATTTAGCTATTTCAATGCCATTTAAAGGTAATTACCTAATAGTTATTATATAAATACATTAAATACTTAAAAGATATTTATTATAAAGTCATATCGAAATACATTAAATACTTAAATAGATAATAATAATTTTAATTTTAATGTACACAAGGTGGTAGAGGCAAAGTATGGTGACAGTTTCATGACGTTTCTCAACGTACACAAAATTTATTGAAAAGCAACGGCAATTGTAAGTTTTTTACGAAATGTTTTTCGTTTTCGACAAAATATTTTAATGTACACAAGTTTGTTTGTATAAAACACCTTTGTTGAAGGTGTCTATGGTCTATGAAAAATTTATGTTATATGGTGAAGTAATTGGCTTGACTTCTATGCAAAATGAACTCATCGCGAAGAACCCATGTTTGAAATACCGAGCATGCTTAATTTAAGCTTGATTAAGATCAGTCCTTAATTTAAAATGTCTATGCTTGCTCTTCATATTGGTAAGATAGACTGAGGGTGGAAAGATAGGACAAGAATAGGAAACAATTGTAAAAAACGATAAACTTTGTGAAAGTATGTAAATGAAAACAAAAAACCTTCAAACCATTTTTTGTAAATATTAGGTTTTAATTTAAAATTTTATTATAGGAAAAATGTCGTTCTGCAAAACATAAAATAAAAAACCTATTTTACGACTTAAAAAGACATGACATGACAAGATGTGAAGTTCAAGAAAAAAAACGCCATCAAACAATATCATTATTTACAAATTCATTATAATTCAAAAATTTAAAAACTGTTTTCAAACTTATTTCGCCAACATTCAACAAATAAGTTACATACTTTTTTTTCGTCGTTTAAATGATCTAAAAAAAAGATACGTAAGGAACATTAGAGCTTTCAAGTAGAAAGTGAGTAACACCATTAGAACAATCTGCCAACCAATGACATAACAACTGTAGTAAACCAACACGCGTTTGGAATCTAAGACCCTTCAAATTAGGTTTATAAATTCTTCGGTTAGATCAAGTTTATTTTACCTTTAACAATTTAAATTTTTATTTATAACAATTTTAATAAATTTAAAAACAACGTTGGAAAACTTTCATGAGTTCAAATTTTAAATGCTCAATACCATATTAAAAAACCAGAATAACAATATGATGGCCGCCAGCGAGTTTCAACTTTTATAGAACATGTAAATTTGAATGTGAAATATCAGATTAGAAAATAACTATAAAAAGAATATAAAAACAGGTCTGCATTTTATTTGTGATCATTTTTAAAAACAACAATAAAGCGATAAAAGAAAATCGCAAATCAAGAAATCATCATAAAAATCAAACTTATTTTCTAACCATAGAAAGCATATTAGCACATTGCTGAATAAGAGTAACAGGAGTATTTCCTAAACTTGTTGCAAGTTGAACTCTTAGTAGCTGTTCTTTCTGATCTTGGTTGTTGATGATGCTGTGAAGTAAAGAAATGGCAGAAAACCAAGTAGAAAGTGGGTCGTTGTTAAACAAACCGGTACACAACAATTGTCCAGATGATATTTGATTAACTAGACATAAAATAAATGAACATTCAAATATGAAAATAAGCGTAAGATATAAACAAAATAAATAAACATAATACCTTCGGACGTTGAAGGAAGTAGAGTTTTAATGATTTGTGATTGACCAAGCTCGTTTTTATAGAGAAATGATTGAAAGCAATAAAGTACCGAACATCGTAACTGAAAAGGGCGGCTATCTGATAACATCGACATAAGCAAAACAACTATTGCAGATCTTCGAAAAATTATAGTTTGAAACTAGTTTTTTTTTGCTAAACAATTGATGCATAATAATTTTAAAACAGAAAAAAGTTTTTAATTTATCTTAATATTTTTTTAAAATTGTTTCAAAATTAACACTAAGTGCTTGTTTTAAAGACATTGGAACAGCTGATGAAATAAAAGGAATAACAATAATTAAACATATTGAAAAAATAAACTTTTTTTTACTTTGGAATTTACTTTTGATGCTCTAAATTTAAATATTTTTCAAATTATCACAATATTGAAATGTATTCTGTACGCAACAACAAAGTAACGGTTCTGTATTTGATAAATTACATCAGCACAAACTGTTAGATATGCGTACAAATTTTAGGCACATAAATTTAAAATCTTGAACTATTTATTTCGATTACTTGTTAAGTCACATTAAGAATGTTATAAAAAAATTAATTAGTTCAAAAAAGCTACCAAAGGTTTCAATTTGTAAGAGATTAAACCATAAGAAAGGTTGAAATTGATAAACTTTAATGGTAGAAGTTCTGAAAAGATAATCCTTAAGAACGGATGGCTATATCCATTCAGGACAGCGTTAATCGACAAGGAACGTGTTGTAAGTTATGATTCTTTGAGAGCGGACATTTTTAAAGAACGACATAAGGTATATAACAGTATAAATACTTTTTATTTTTCGCAGTCGTTAACTACCATCAGACTGCGGATGATGGGGAAGCGTGGTTTTGCTTTCATTTGAGCTAAGTATCTGGCACAATTAATCTAAAGAGCTGATTCGAAATTCACTCCTAGGTCCGAGTGTAACTCCAGGGGCACACTCTAGCAACAAATCCAGTTCGAGACAACCTCATCAGCGACTTTGCGTGCTTCCTGATTAGATATATTTCGGGCAATTTGCTGAAGTAGTCCAACACAATCAAAACATTAACAGTTCCCATTATCACATTTAAGAAAAGGGCCAGCAATGCCAATAGCGATCCTTCTGAACTTCCACAACTTTATAAATTAACATTGTCCACCTTAACTTCTTTTTTGGTTTTTTGACGGCAGTAAAAGTAACACATTTTCGACACTAGATCTCGAATGTAAAACCAGCAAAATTGAATTTCTCGTGTATCATAAGCTAGCATCTTGTTTATGCTGAAGTGCCTCCCAGATGACGCAGGATTTCGGTTGTCGTATTCCCGGAAATTATTATTTGCATCTGATGTTTGGCTTCGTTGGCCGATTTTCATTTCCTTTTAAGTTCCAGATGAAACGAGTCACACTGGGCCCAGTATGCTTTTACCGTTTAGATATTTTTTGCCATTCCAATCTCTGGCCAGATTCCTTCCATTCTACAAAGTGTCGTAAATTTTCATCCGCCAAAGTTCTGTTGGTGTCCAACCGTTTCTGCCGTCATTGAAATTATCCGGAAATCTGTTAACTGTTTTCTCTTTTCTCCAGTCTAAAACAATGTCGACATTCATATAAGCAAAGTCTATGGAAAAAAATCATCAGCTTTATTGAGCCGTTATATTGCGGCATATAACATGCAGCCTTTATATCCATCTCGCCACTTATCCTTTCGGTTCTTTGAAAGTAAGCAGCCAATTTAATGGTGCGAGATTGCCAGAAGGAAAAATCTTTGACCGTACAAATACATGTAAGAGTGTTTTGAGGAGCTAATTTGATATATTTTAAGTTGTTTTTAATAACTGAAAATTAAAATTTCATATATGTCTACCATCGAGCGAAATAAAATCACAAATTAAACAGTTTACGTGCATTAAAAGCTAGTTCTAACCGGTAAAACAAGCCGTTCTATAATTTATTATTTTTAGTTTTGTGTTTTGTTTGAAATTCAAAATACAAAAATTAAATATTAATATAATATAATATAATATTAAATTTGTCGAAAAAATGGTATGCTGTAAAAAAGCCAATCAATAAATTAATGGGCCTACAAATATTCAATTGACCAATCAATCAATTTTATACCAAGAAACTCTCAATACAAAACTAAAAAGATTAAATATTTATATTATAAAGTTTTTTAGTTGGTTTAAATATTTATTTAAGTTTTAGTTTTAAAAATTTTAAAATTGTCAAGAAAATCACTGAGAAAAGATTAACGTCGTGCATCACATTCAGAAATTATCAATTTGGTTTCCAAGCGGAGAAATCAACAATTGATGCAATTCACAACCTTCAGCAACTGCAAGAGAAGTACCTCGCAAAGCATCAACAACTATCACACATTTTTGTAGATCTTGAAAAAGCATTTGATCGAGTTCCCCGTGAAGCAATCAGGTGGAGTCTACGTCGACAACTCATTCCAGAATATCTTGTTCGACTTGTGATGGAAATGTACACGAATACTAAGACTCGCGTCAGCACAACGGTTGGAAACACAGATGCATTTGACATCGGCGTTGGAGTTCACCAAGGCTCGATTCTCAGTCCACTGTGATGGAAGAAATCACAAAACCGATACGCACTGGTGACATTTTGAATCTAATATATGCTGATGATGCAGATGTTTGAAGATTGAAACACCATCCTGGCCGATCATGGATTCAAAGTCAATATAAGCAAAACCAAAGCAATGAACCACTGGTGAATCCATCCAATCCACACCTACTGGACGATGACCCTGTTCAGTTTGTAAAGCTGGTGTAGGTAACAATTCAATCAAGTGTCAGTAGTGTAACCAGTGGTGTCACAAACGTTGTTCAAAAATAATTGGTACTTTATCTAAAGTATCCAATTTTGTTTGTCCTGCTTGCATCAATCCACAAGAACAAATTCGAAATAGCAATGTTTTTGAGGCCATTAAGGTAGAGAAAGTCAAATCGTTTCAATATCTAGGGGATGTTCTGGATTGTACTGGAACAGCTGAAGCTGCCGTTCGAATAAATGGCATCTCCTTGCCTCTATATTGATGCGGCGTGACATCCCACTACCACTATGATCAAGATTTTATAAATCTGTGATACGTCCGGTCTTGTTATATGGTGCAGAAACATGGCCAATGACAACCAAACTGGAACAACAACTTCAACGAACCGACATGAAAATGCTCCGATGGATGCAACGAATTAGTCTGAAGGACGACATCAAATCAACCGAAATCCTTCGTCGTGCTGGTTTAGATGACATAAAGGACGAATGCCGGCAACACCGTCTGCGGTGGCTTGGTCATGTCAAACGGAGTGGAAACAGTGCCATAACTTCTCTTGCAGATGTTGAAGTACCTGGCACATGCCCTAAGGCAGTCCAAAGAAGTCCTGGTTGCAAACAATCGAGCAAGACATGAAAGCTCTAAATTTAAATGAAATGGATACAACTGATCGTCTAATTTGGCGCAAAAAGTTGATGGCAAAGAGAACAACGTCGTACCTCGGGAAACTGGGTCTCTGGACGCTAAACAAAGATTCATTGATTGATTTAACACAATGAGATTAAATTTTTATTATTTATTTTTCGTTTATTAAAATTATTATAACAAACCCCAAACCTAGGAGGTACAGACGGGGCCAAAACAGATGCCAAAAAATCCTGGTTTTGTTGGTTTCCACGAATAATCTCAGCAACAGCATTTATAGTTTCTATCAGAGCATCAACTGGTATCCCAACGGCTAACACCATTTTACTTAAGTTATTTAACAACCCTGTGAAAAAAAAAAATTTTAGCCGAAATAATAAAAAAAGATTAAAAGATTCAACGATTCAGAAGTTTCAACGACTAAAACACACAGCTTATATAAGCAGTGTTATAATTTGATATACAGGTGAAAATATGTGACCACATATGTCAGAAAAATATTAGATAGTTTATGTAGATATAGTAGTAATATTTAAAGCATATTTGATTTTTTTTCACAGATAACATATTAGTTTTAAATCAAATAATAATGAAATTCTTAAAGATGATTATGGGATATCGTCACGAGACATTGATCTTTTCCTTTGCATGAAAGATCTGGAGCATTCCTACACATAAACCAACAGTAATCTGCAAGCATAACCTCATTCCACTGACCCTGATATCTTTTTTCCATTACAGAAACATCTTTCTCCATGTTCATCTCTTACTGCCCCACAGTTTGGTGGAAAGAAGTCTAGGTGTGAGTGTAGGAAAAAAATTTTGAGAGACATGTAACATTCAAGTTGCTAGTATTTTTTCCAGAAGTTTTTTTAGTAATTGAACGTAGTTATCATCTCTTTTGGTGCCTAAAAATCCATAAATAACTTTTTTGAGTGCTTTCCAAGCTTTCTTTTCTTCCCTTGTCAAAACTTCGTGAGATGCAGCAATAACATTTTTTGCATCTTTGGTGAGATTTCTTGCAAGCCAATCTTCTTTCATATAATATTATATATTATATAATGTCTTACATATAATCAAAAAGTTGATGGCAAAAAAAACAACGTCTTACCTCGGGAAACTGGGTCTCTGGACGCTAAACGAAGATTGATATACAAAAAGCAGCAATATTTAGCATAATCTAATTGATTTTTAGATCATCACAAATTTTCCATTTGTGTTCATTGCAGTTTATTGAGTTGAAGAGAGCCTTCATGATTCTATAAGTTTCATTCATGTGAACTGCATAACCAATAAGAACAAAAGGAAGCTGGTTTCTATTGTACAAGCTTAACTTAGATGAGTCTAAAAATAAGCTCCATTCAGTTGGATCTTAATTCAAATTAAGATAGTACATTAATCTATTGACATAAATGATTTTTCTTCTCAAAAAAAAGCAGATTCTGCTTTTGTTTTCTTTAATGTGAAACTTTGACATCAAATTGGAAAAAATACCATTGCTTTAGTTTTGATCCTAAAAGATCTGCTTTTTTCCTTTGATAAGTCCAAGTTTTAATTCTGCTTGATTCAATTTGTTTGGTGCATCATCTGCTAACAGAAAATTAGGATCCTTTGATGTGGAAGGCTTGTTTTCTTCTTATTCTTGTATTTCGACTTCATTTTTGCTATAATTTTTTGCTTCTATCCCAAAACTTTGTTGTGGAGTAGGTACTGGTAAACTATCTAAAAGTGGAATAGGTCGAATGGCAGATGAAAGATTTAGATATTCAACTGTTCCTTTTATCATTGATGTGCAGTCAAGCAGTCATCTGCTTGGCTTTTAGGCTCCCTCTATACCATAGGAACATCAAAAACCAATTTTTTTTACTTTTTAACCAATTTTATAGTGTGATCGAACAAGAATTACATCTATGATTTATCTTGACCTCCCACTTTCATACCAAAATAATGATGAAATTACGGGTATAACAAAAAAATAACTAATTTGTGAAGCGTCTTTTCGAAGTTTTTAAGGAGATACAACAGTTGACCGAAACGGAATTCGCAACATACACAAACATAAAAAAATGTTTTTATATCTTTTATATTGCAATTCATAAAAAACAATTTATGAAAAAAAATTAATATGCAAAAACTATATTGACGTTGGCATTTTCAGTATTATCTTTTAAAAAATAACAAAAATTTTCAAAAAACATTATGTAGACTCAGGAACGAAATTAAAGATTTTTAATAATTGTGTGATACCAGATACTAATTGGTGCAAAACTTGAGAAATTACGAAAACAATGCAGTGCAAATGTAGCAGAAAATCAACTCATCGAATGAAGGTATATGGCAACGTTGGAAAAATAATGTGATAGGCTACGCAAAACATGAAATGGAGATAGACGAGAAGACCACTAAAACGTAATTTCAAATGCTAGAAAAAAGGTTTTGGATGAGCCTGAGAAATGAAAGAGAATTTAAAAAGAGCTGGTTTATTAACTTATAAGAAACCAACAGGAAGAATAAAATTGTCAATTGAAAGCTGGCTTTGATCGTGAGTTGTGGAGATGTCAAAGGATTCAATATCTGGAGTATCATAGGTATAATCATAGGTATAATTATATGATTAATAATGACAATCTTGCCGATGTTCAGCCATATAAGTTGAAGCCAGGTAAAAGGGCGGAAAGTTCTTCTACAGTCAATTTCACTAGTAATTCTGAAATAACTTGTCAAATTGTTGTGATTCGTTCTAGTATGAAGTACTCGGAACGCTATATATGACATTAATTTTACTAGCCACTAAAATTAGGTTATATAGCGTGTTCATAAGCACCGTACTGCTTCATAGATATGGAAGATAGTCATGGTCATTTCAGATAGATAGTACTCAGCAGATCAATGACGTTCGCAAGGATACTTCATCTATCTTCCTACCTACATCAACGTTGAAGTGAGAAAAAAACACCGCAGCCAGTTTCTTAACACAGTTTGGTGTTGTCAGACTCGTGTTCACTTATCGATGAACCATCCTCCGGTTCAAAGACCAAATAGATAATATAAAAATAAATAGTAAATAGAGAAAAAAACAATTTTTTTTAAATTAATCTTTTTTAAATAATAAAAAAAAATTACATTAAAAAATTGATAAAAGAAAAATGCTCAATAAATATGGTAAATTTTTACCAATTTTAACATAAAAAGAAATAGCAAACAGATAAAAAATCCAATTTAAAAAAAAAATTATTCTCATAGAATAATAAAGAAAAATTTATTTAACAAAATTGATAAAGAAAAAAAGTATTAACATCGTACCGCAGTTATGCATGAGTATTTGACACGATGTAATATGTTGAAGTGGATTGTTTGGGGACACCAGCAGTCTTATTAACTGAAATGAAAATATTAATTAATGTTGTAAAATAAGACGTCTTAGCAAAGATGATAGAACTAAAAAAAGCACTGGAAAACATCTCCTGAAAGATGGTTGTAACAAAAAAAAACCTAAAATTTACAATCGACCCTAACGACCGATTTCAATAATAACTTCAAAAAAATGAAAGTAAAAAACCTTTTACAGTAACATTTTTATTATTATTATACAATTATAAGTTACAAAAGAGCAATCGCAAATAAGGCACTTTGCATTGTCGTTTGATCTAAATCGCAGTTAAAAAGTTAGTCTAAAATATTTATTTTTGGGAATGAAGGAATAACATAGCATAATCAACATGGTTATAAAACATATCCTTCATTTCGTTTATATTTTACAACCAAGTTGATTATGCTATGTCATTCCTTCATTCTCACAAATAAACATTTTAAACGAAGGAAGCTATGGCAAAAGATGCATATTCTAAAATGAAAAATATCTTCACCAACAGTATCAACAAAATTAAAACTGTTAGGATGTTACATTTTTCCTGTGCTAACTTACGGCTCTGAGTCCTGGACAATTTCTAAAGAAATGAAAGAATGATTAATGCTGCTGAGATGTAGTTTTTGAGTAGATTATGAAAATTAGTTACACCTTTCATACTTCGAATGAGAACGAATTAAAACAGTCCGGTTATGAAAAAAGGAAATTACTATAGATAATACGACGGGGTAGTTAAAGTTTTTTTGGTCACAACATGCAGAAGAATGGAAAAACTACTGAAAAAATTGCAGGGAAAAGAGATCGCGGTCACCAACGGACAACTCGCAAAGTTAGGGTTAGTGTTTGTTGTGTTAGTGTTTTCAAGGTTTTGTGGAGGTCGATGGTCGCCAATGTTCTGAAAAGATAAGGCTCGAGAAAAAAAAAATAAAATATATCTAAAACTAGCAGAGTCCTCTTCATAAAAAACTAAATGACTGGACGTAGTTCGTAACGCTGTAGAATAAATACATTGAAACTAAATAAGATGAATATCATTAAGTAAAAAAGGAAATGAAATAAATAATTGTTGTTATTATTATAATAATAATTACGTATTTAAAAAAAGGCCTATCACAGCCACACGGATAAATTGATCAAAATCTTAGAAAATTCTATAAATTTGTTAGAAATTGTCTGATTTAGCAGTGGCCAACTATCGCTAAATTTTGAGGTGGTGCAAGGTAAAGGTCTCATTATGCTCGTTCTAATAAGCATATTCTGTCTAAACTTAAATAAATTCCTGCCCTGGCTCGATACACTGAAAAGCTCCTATTTAATTAATGGTAGTGTCTATTGTCTAATATCAAAAAACGATGTTGCTTCATTGATCCGGATTTAAACATTCAAGAAATATGTCCTATATCAAACATGCTATAATCACAATTTATCTGTGTCGCTGTGATGTGCCTTTTTAGTTACGTAATTGTAATAAAAAAAACAATTCGTTTTTTTATTTAATGAAATTCATCTAATTTAATTTCAATTTATTTTTTCCACAGCGTCACAAAGTACAATTAAGCCATTAAGTTTTTTATGACGAAGGCTGTACTATTTTCAGATATTCTTTATACCCAAGTCGATTATGCTAAATCATTCGTTCATTCTTATAAATAAATAAGCATTCTAGACTAACTTTTAACTGTATGTTGTGTGTTGTACTGTGTATTGTACTGTGTGTTGTATTTAGTGCTGTACTTTAATTAATTAAATCGTTGTTCATTCATTCATTAATTCAATCCGAAAACCAAAATGATTAAGTACAATGTATATTATCAAAAATCTTAAATATTAATTTCAATACTGACCACCATTTTTAATATGTAAAATTGCATATTTTTTTATAGTTAATTTTTTATATTACTTAATTTTTCACGTTAAAAATAAACGTTTTTACCGACAACAATCATTACAATCTTTATGAAAATTAAAATTACCAAACGTGGACACCATGGACAAAAGGTGTTATACAAAAAAAAATTTTCCATGTTTTTTAATAAAGAAGCATTCTAACAAATACGTACTTAGAAAACTTATTTTAAAAAGTCATAATCGCGAAACGAGTATTTAATAAAAATGCTTATCCAGAAATCTCACTCCTAATAATATAATAATTATGGTTAAGAAACCCATTTTTAGACATTGTCATAACAAATGTATAAAACAAAATAATCGCATATTGTTTATTTTGCGATATATACTGTAGAATAAAGATGCTAAAAAAAATTTTTACAAAAAAAATCGTATCGTAGTAAAATAAATTTAATAAAAAATCAGTTTTTTGACATTAAAATGTTCGGACGCATGTGCTACATCATTCACGTGGATTCAAAGTCAACATCAGCAAAACCAAAACAATAAACACTGGAGAACCCATCCAATCCACAGCAACTGGATGATGGCCCTGTTCAGTTTGTAAATCTGGTGTAGGTAACAATTCAATCAAGTGTCAGCAGTGTAACCAGTGGTGTCACAAACGTTGCTCAAAAATAATTGGTACTTTATCTAAAGTGTCCAATTTTGTTTGTCCTGCTTGCATCAATCCACAACAAGAAATTCGAAATAGCAATGTTTTTGAAGCCATTAAGGTAGAGAAAGTCACATCGTTTCAATATCTAGGGGATGTTCTGGATTGTACTGGAACAGCTGAAGCTGCCGTTCGAGCACGCATACGTGCAGCCTGGAATAAATGGCATCTTCTTGCCTCTATATTGATGCGGCGTGACATCCCACTACCACTATGATCAAGACTTTATAAATCTGTGACACGTCCGGTCTTGTTATATGGTGCAGAAACATGGCCAATGACAACCAAACTGGAACAACAACTTCAACGAACCGACATGAAAATGCTCCGATGGATGCAACGAATTAGTCTGAATGACCACATCAAATCTACCGAAATCCTGCGTCGTGCTGGTTTAGATAAAGGACGAATGCCGGCAACACCGTCTGCGGTGGCTTGGTCATGTCAAACGGAGTGGAAACAGTGCCATAACTTCTCTTGCAGATGTTGATGTACCTGGCACACGTCCCAAAGGCAGTCCAAAGATGTCCTGGTCGCAAACAATCGAGCAAGATATGAAAGCTCTAAATTTAAATGAAATGGATACAACTGATCGTCTAATTTGGCGCAAAAAATTGATGGCAAAGAAAACAACGTTCTACCTCGGGGGAACTTGGTCTCTGGACGCTAAACGAAGATTGATTGATTGATCAAATGTTCGGGCAGTTTGTTTGCAGTGTTCAAAAGTCAGGACTGTCTTTGTAGCTCTTGTTAAGCTTGTAAGGGTAGAACAGTTTAGTTTCATGGCAAAAAAAGTTCAATAGCGTCTCCATATAAATCAGGAAGAAGTGATTAAAACATATTTCTTAACCGTTTAGACCAGCATAAATAAAGCAACTTATTTTTTTTTAGGATGGGCAACAATAACAGAGACCTTTACCATGCACTTTCACAACCTGAAAAAGTTAACGTTAGTTGGCCACTGCTGAATCAGACAGTTTCTAGCAAATAATAGACTTCATGAAAAATCTTTCAATGGTTTTGATCATCAACTTACTGTGTGTCTGTAATGTGCCTTTTTTAGTTATTTAATTTTATTAATAATAACAACTACTACAAAAACAATTATTTCATTTCGTTTTTTACTTAATGAAATTCATCTAATTTAATTTTTCTACAGCGTTTCGTCTTTAATTTTTTTTTATAAAGAGAGCTGTGATATTTTTAGATACCTTTATAACTAAGTTGATTACGCTATGTAATTCTTTTATACTCACAAATAAATAAACATTGTAGTCTAACTTTTTGACTGCGATTTAGTGCTGTAGTACTATTAAAACTAAACATAGTTTTTTTGCCTATAATTTTTTCCCCATTATCAAAATTAATATTAACGTTACTGAATGTTGGACAAATCACAAACCTTTAACATATTGCAAACATTCATCGTCTTTTGCAAAGGCCAGGTAATACAATGTTCCGAGTTATCGTTTATATCAAAGTAACTTGGCAATCGTTGAATAAAACTACCTTCCTTTAGAAAATTCTGGTTGGAAATATTGTTTCGCAACAAGTTAAGCAACACTAGTAAACAATCTTCTACAACCACACCTGAATCAATAATACAAATAAATCGAATCACATCCGCACACAGATTAAATTTTCAAAAATTTTAAATTAAATTTTATTATTGCCGACATTTTTTAATTTAAATATGAGTTTCACGTTCAATGAAGCTAACATTTTAAAAGTATTTTTAATACTGATGCATACACACGTATAGAGTAAAGACGATTTAGTGCATTTTCAAGTGCTGGCAAAATGTATTTATGCAAATATTTGCACCAATATAACCGATAAAAATTGTAACCCATTATTATTGAATAAGTTTTAATGATTACCTTCAACTTTTTATTTTTACGAACCTCCATCGCTTCCTCCTTCGTCTCTGATGATTTCAAACAATTTTTCAAAAGCATTTTCAAAAGCAACAATTTTTTGTATGTTTGTGTTACCTTTTGTCAATTCGTATAGCAACAACATATTCTGCTCGTAAATTTAATTTGTTCTTCAAGCTATTTTTTCAAATTATTCAAATAAAAAACCTCAACCTCATTTCTAACAACTTCTCTAGAGTCCGCTAACAAATCCATCATTTTTGAGATGCCCATGGGATTTGTGAGAATGATTTCTTGTACATCTCTTGTTTTGTTTTGTAAAAGAACTGTTAACAAGTGGATAGTTGGCAGCAAAATATGGTAGTCGTATTCCTTTGATGGTTAAAAAATTTATTGATTTTTTAAAAGCCCAATTGAATTGCTCAATCTATTTAATGTTACGATAATTATTAACAAAAGTGTGCATGTTATAAAGTTAAATCTTATAATTGGAACAACAAAAAAAATGTCAAAATAAAATTAAAAATTAGGCAAAATTGAAAATTTATTTTTTGCTATCATTGTAAAAAAAAATGAGTTTATATCCAGAATTTTTATAAAACTGTGCCCGCTAATTAGAAAAAAACCCGGCCCATCAACAACAATACAAACTGTCATTTATGACATTGTGCCATATCCAAGAATAAATACCGTTAATATTACAATTTACCTTTAATATATGATTAAATGTCGCTTAAAGATAAGCAACTAACATTTTAATATTTTCGATAATTTCGAATATTTTTTGACTTATTAAGTATAATCGCTGATGATGATGATGATATTCATTATATAGTGTAAATGACATGGCGTTATTTTTAATAAACAGAGTCAGCCTAACAAGCATGTCTTTTTATCGCTAGAAATACGTCTTCACCAATCATCTATATCCAAACTTTGTGACTTCAAATACCATCCACAAGACCTATTCAGTCTTTCCATGCAAGCATGGTCCATTTCTCAACAATTTCATCATAGGTTGGAGAGTTATGTCCACTAGATGGTATCTTTTGCTTTGATGGCGGACGGTTGTAAACAAATATTTTCTTAAATTAATTTTCCGATTTGTTATTAAAAGCAATATCGTTTGCGATTTAATAAATTTAATTAAAAAATTCGTTTTGACTTAGTAGAATTAGAAGAATTACGTCGAATTAGCAGAACTGAGGTTTATGTGACAGGCCCCTCAACAATTAACGACAATATCCTTGTCCAGGCTTTTACGATCATTATTCTATACCAAGCATGTCTACTTGTCCTGCTTGCATCAATCCACAACAAATTCGAAATAGCAATGTTTTTGAAGCCATTAAGGTAGAGAAAGTCACATCGTTTCAATATCTAGGGGATGTTCTGGATTGTACTGGAACAGCTGAAGCTGCCGTTCGAGCACGCATAAGAGCAGCCTGGAATAAATGGCATCTCCTTGCCTCTATATTGATGCGGCGTGACATCCCACTACCACTACGATCAAGACTTTATAAATCTGTGATACGTCCGGTCTTGTTATATGGTGCAGAAACATGGCCAATGACAACCAAACTGGAACAACAACTTCAACGAACTGACATGAAAATGCTCCGATGGATGCAACGAATTAGTCTGAAGGACCACATCAAATCTATCGAAATTCTGCGTCGTGCTGGTTTAGATGATAAAAAGGACGAATGCCGGCAACACCGTCTGCGGTGGTTTAGTCATGTCAAACGAAGTGGAAACAGTGCCATAACTTCTCTTGCAGATGTTGAAGTACCTGGCACACGTCCCAAAGGCAGTCCAAAGAAGTCCTGGTCGCAAACAATCGAGCAAGACATGAAAGCTCTAAATTTATATGAAATGGATACTAATTTGGCGCAAAAAATTAGTGGCAAAGAAAACAACGTCCTACCTCGGAGAACTGGTTCTCTGGACGCTAAACGAAGATTGATTGATTGAAGCATGTCTACATTAACCGCGACCTGTCAAAAAGAAAAAGATTGAGGGTGGGTTGTGAAGAGTGATGATTGTTGTCGCTTGGGTTTTTTTGCGTATAATAGTTATTATTGTTGTAATGTGATAACTCTGTTGATGGTGCTTTTTGAATGGAAATAATGCCGACGATGAAGTTGATGGTGATGATGCCAATAAAAAAAATGGTGGTAAAGATGTAGGTGGTAAGCCTGAAAGGTTTGGCTGACATTGATGCAATGATGTCGACGGTAAATTCTGAACAATTGGTTGCAAAGATGAACGTTGGTGGCATTGCAGATGACTTTGATTCCATATTTTCAGGCAAAATAAGATTCTCCTAACTTGGCATGGAATTGAGTACTTATTCGGTTGGAAATTAATTGGTTGATTGCGTATAGATGTGCATAATGAGTATATTAATGAGAATGATATTAAGACTCGTAGGGGCATGTTTATTTACTTATTTAATGGCGAGCGATAACATAAGGATCGGTGTAATATAAGGATAAATCAGCGTTGAAAATACAAAATAATTCTTAGATTAAAAAATCCCTAAAAACATGTAATAATTACGAATCTGATTTATTAGCCAATTAATTGAAAAACATTGAAAAAAGCGGATTATCCGAAGGAACACGATATAATTGCACCATCGGAAAAAACCAAAAATCTCATTTCAAATGTTAGAAGTCTACAAAACAAACGGAAAGACTAAATTTATTTTTGTCAGAATGCGATCCATTTTTTTATTATCGAAACATGACTTTTTTTCAGGATATCCCGATGAATTATTTTTACATCCTGATTTTAATTTTGTTAATATAGCGTGAAGCACGTAGTGGTGGCTCCGCCTTCATAATTAAAAAAAACTAGCTCCCTACAAAGTTGTAAAAGTACTCATATTGAAATTATTTCCACTGATGTTTTTTTTCATCAACAATGTACAGTTTCATCTCCTGATACCGCAGTGGTGGATTAGACAGGTTGGCTGAAAATAAGGCTAGGCAGAGGTAATGTTAACCGAAAATGGCGATTTTAACCTTTCGTTCATTGATTAGATTGACAAAATTTTTGAAGTGCAGAAATTAAAATTACCTGCAACAAAGACAAAAGCAATGAAACATTATTTGTATCTTTGATAAACATTTCAGAAAACAACAGTGTTAATTTTCCATTTGATTTAAAACCAGAACTTTCTTCATCTGAGTGATAATAAAAATATTTTATGCAAAATCACATATATTTGATGCAAGTAGTGATAACAAACTTTCATCATCAACATCACAGGACATAATATTGCACAATGCATCCAGTGTGTATCCTAAAATTTCTAAATCTGTTCTGAAAAAAAAAAATTTTTTTCCTTGTTTTTCTTGAAAATTAAAAAAGTAACTTTTGAATTAAAAATTATAATATTATGTTAAATCATCATCAACATCAATGCCCTTTAATGAACAGAGGGCAAATTATATGAATGTACAAATAGCACTGATAAATTTTCATTTACAATAGTTTTTTGTTTTGCTTCAAAACATTTAACTTCATTAAATTATAGCCAATGTGGAGGTTCACTTTTTAATCACATTCTGGCATGATAGATTTTTCGAATTAGCAGCTGATAGTCGTTATATTTTTTAGACACAAAATCTGACCAACTTTGATGTCGTTATATTTTTAGAAACAAAATCTGACGTTGATCCATTCTGAAAAATGTTTCCTATGTAATTATTAATAAGTGCACAACATGGAATAGGAATATCACATGCGAGCTCATGTTAAAAGGTGTACATAACAATACACAACCTTGTCGAACATTGTTTTACTATTTTAATTACCTTCTGGACAAATGGACCAACTTTTATCCTTGCCCGCTGTCTTTCACGATCTTGGATCCTGTAGATCACGTGTTGGTCCTGTTAATGACCTTGTATAGATCTTCGCAATTCCTTCGGAGTTTTGGGCATCGCCTTTTTCAAAGCTGTTGGTTGATAAACACACACTTTTGATACCTGCTTTTATTTCTTTTCATTGCCGTGTGTTCATTGTTTCGGTTTTTTAGACGTCGTCGTTATTTCTTAATTTTTTTTGGCATTTGAAGCAAATGCTTTTTTCTTATCAAGTTTACGAGGTGTAAATTAGTGATGAAGCGATAAAAATGAGTCATCCTTCATGTAGAAGAGAACCAAGCATTTTTTCACGGTGCGCGGTGGAGGAATTTTCCAAAACTTCAACTCCTATAAGACCGAATTTCTAATGTTTAATAATTCTTTTATTGTTTTCCTTGAAAATTTTAACATGTTTGGTTTGATGTCCAGAATGAATATTCGCATCAGCATTAATCCTCACAGACATCGTTAATTTTTAAATTACTGCTCTCACAAAGTCATCCAAATTATCAAAAAATTAATTGTTGCATCGAAATCGTCGTTGCTATTATTGTTGCTATTATTGTTGCTATTATTGTTTATGCTGTCGTTGTTATCAAATAAAGCAGGCGAGTTGCTGGCGGCAAGATCCGAGTGGTAGTCTCACTGGATATCAAAGGTTTCAATTTTTTTGTCACTACCAACTTCCGGAATATATTCAAAACCTTCATTGTCGTCTTCGTCATCACCTTCATCATTGCGATAACGATTTCCTTTCTTTACTTTGTCACGTGCATTGTGATTGAAACGATCCCTAGATAGACTTGCGATCGTTAATGTAATAAGTCAGTGAGATGATATTAAGATTTTACATAGCTGTTGCTGGTTCGGTCAGGTACATTTTTCGCTCCGCCGGTTTGTTGTCTAATTTTATTTCCATGTTGTTCTCAATTGTCACTTGGACGCGTTTACATCGCTTTTCAAGTGCTATTCGTAATTCCGTTATCTGTCGATCCAACTTTTGTTCAGTTTTTCTTGCATTGAAATCGTCGTTGTTATTATTGTTAAAATTACTGTTTATGCTGTCGTTGTTTTATGTAGGCGAGTTGCTTTTGTTCAGTTTTTCTATAGGATCCGGAAAGTCGAACATTGCCTTCATTTATCAGATCGTCCCATAATCGGTTTATCAAAACTGTCTTAACTCCTTTTGCGTCGAAGATTCGTTTTCGCATTTCTTTCGTCAGATTAGTTGTATCAAATTTCTCTAGTGCCGAAATTCTTTATTGCAAAAAGTTTTCATTTATCAAAAATCTACTTCTGACATAAGGCACAATCGTCAAGCAGTTTGATCTTTGGTAGGTTTACTGATTTCTGTTTCCATCGTTTATTTGAATGCCAACAGTAATAGAGACACCGAACCATTCACTAATCCCAGAAAAACGCTCGGCGTCGCAAATCGCCAATAATTCATAGCACACCTCCTTAATACAGGAGTATTACTCTACAGCTCCACTATTTTGAAATTGCATACATGATACAAAGATATCTGGTTCTATCAAATAATTAGTAGTAAACATAATTATAAAGTCAATATAATAATTCAATTGAAATTAATTATATAGTGCATTTTGCAGAACAGCATTTTGACAGCAGATACAACAATACTAAAAGGTCCTACACAAGATTTACGTTTAGGCTTTTCCGTGCAGGCCAGGTTCTAGTAGTTACGCAGAAACGTGTGTCATTCACTTGTTGCAAATTCTAATTTTTTTTTAATTTGGTCTGAATTTGGTTTATAATATAAATAAATATTTGTATGAATGGATTGCAGATTTTACACAAAATTCTTTATATCTGATTTAATCGAACTCAACATAGTCAATTCCATAAAATAACTTATATGTTGACATTTAATACAAATAAGATAATAATTATAATTCAAGGAACAAAATTAATTATTAATTAGTCGTTAAACAAAACAAAATAAAGGTTATAAAAACACTGTGCTATTGATATTTTTTGGACGTCTAAATGAAACGTTTATAATTTGCAGCCATAGAACATAGACCAATCGGTTTCGACATGAAGGGTGAAAAAAGGCAGATAAAAAAATTTTCAATACCATTTTTGTCAAATTATATAACTATAGAATCAAACGCAAGCAGTTCTGCGCATTTCCAAGCTGCACAATAAAACTGGGTTTGAAGATATCTAAAAATTAAAGGAATATAAATATGATAGCTTAGAAATATCAAACATTCTTAAACATATCTCATTTATAACTTTCGAGTAAATCCGGCATCCGATCTGAATCAACCTATTAAATATCCATAAAAAAAACTTAACTCATTAAATATCTAAAAAACACTGGCTCATTCAGAAAGCCTGAGCAAACTGTTTGAAACCACCATAATCAGACTAGAAGCGTTAAGTAACAGTCTTGAATCTGCGATTAAAAGTATATCAAACTCTGTAACTGACTACATGAAAGAAGGCAGGCAGAGCAAGCTTTTCCGATGTGACAAGGGAGGCGTCGACTTAAAGCTAAAAATAACCAGCCCTTCCGTTCAGACAAACAATAAAGGTCTGATTCGTATGGCCTTAGCAAATGTGCGTAGTATCCAGAAGAAACGATCTCAATTTATTTTTACCAGTTTACGACCCACATGTATTTTCCGTTATTTATTTATTTTCCGTTATTGAAACGTGGCTTTCCCCTAATGATCCTGATAATTTATTTTTACCTCCAGGATTTCGTATTGCTCGAAAGGATGTGTGGCCTTCATCATCAAAAATACTGTTCCATACAAGATCGTTTCTGTACCGCCTCAATTTTCACACATCGAGACATTTCCACTTACCGCTTTATCGAGACATTTCTACATAAACAAAACTTACCGCTTTATCTTTTACTGTCGTAGTGGTTTCGACCAAGCAGCAGAAAAGTACGCGCTAGATGTATTAGAGATTAGCCAGGGCAATTGTAAACTGCTCGATGGGTGATTTTAACTTTTCTCAAATCGACTGGAATAATTATTCGACACCAAATAACTCCATTTATAATACTGTTATCGATCTTTTTAACGATTTGGGTTTTCACCAGCTCATCGATCTACCAACACGAGGGATCTGATTTTATCTGATGACACCAGTTTGCTGGCCGAATGAGAAGTCTCTTGCCCGTTCGCTTCCAGTGATTACAATAGCCTTACTTTTCAAGTCAACCAACTGCACCACTTGTAACTTACCAAAAGAGTTTTATAGTGATATATTCTACTATAACTTTAACAAAGCAAACTTCACTGGTATGAACGGTTGCTAGAGGCTGATAAACTGCGATCATATTTTACAGCATTGCTTCAACGTTAATACCAGTTGGGAGATTTTCGAACAGCTAATCCACAATGTAATAATGTCAATCTATATTCCCCAAATTCATCAGAAAAATACAACACGTAAACATCCGGTTCAAATCGGTTTCATTTATCCTATAAAATCAAACATTACTATTGGAACTAAGTTTTCCCTCAGATGATAGAAAACTTTATTTGACAATGTCACAAAAATGTACCATTCTAGCAAACCATTATAACAAAATCAATGAACAAAATCCACTTTCTAAATCTAATGTCAGAAGTTTTTACCAGTATGTCAAAAACAAATTGTTTTCGCGACCCCAGGTTAGCAGTTTAAGATTAGATGACAATAATGTAACACACGACCCGTTGGTGCATTACCGACTATTTAGGTTCTGTATTTACAAATGACAACAGCGACAACTATCTCTTACCTCGTTTTTCCACAAGGTACTAGGTTTCACACCTCCCATAATATTTTTAACCTTACGAAACTTTAAAAATTCAACATCAACTGGTCCAGATGGTATACCCAATATTACACTCAAGATGTGTGCATCAACTCTAGCAGCACTTTGTCATATATTCGATTTATCATTTAAGAGCAATCTATTGCATACCAAATGGAAAACTGCAATTGTTACTCCTATCCATAAAATAGGTCCTACCAATTACCCCAGTAACTCTAACTAGTTCAAGTTGTAAAATAATGGAAAAAATTATTAACGTAAAAATGTAATCTTTTCTTTTAGAAAACAAATTGATCAATAATTCTCAACACGGTTTTTTACCTGCCAGATCCACCTCCTTCAACTTACTACAATTCAAGAATGACTGGATGTCAATTCGTCATAACAAGGAAAGCTACCTGAATTTCTCAAAGCTAGTTGGAAAATTATAGTCCTACGGAATGTCTTTGCGGACAGAAGTGGTTTCCTCAACTTCACTTGTAATTTTCAGAAATCATCTAACATCTATTGACTTAAATAAATTTTTGACTATAATCTAACTATTAATGTTGATATTGTCTCATTGCAAATTATAATCTTTTCGTATTATGTGCTCATCCAATTTTATCGATTAAAATTTTCACCGAGCTACCATTGTCATTTATCCATTAATTATAACCATCAAACTAATTTTTTTATTACACCCACTATGTTATTTGTTACATGTTTAAAATTTGCCTTTGCACATAAATAAACATATCAAATTCTATTGTAATCTTACAGTCATTACGTATTTATGTTCAATATTGTTATGTTGCCTCATTCATTATTTTTATTATTATGCGATGATTTCTGTTTGTTAATATCCTGTATTTTAGATTTAATTCTGTGACGTGCGTTTATTCTTTTGGATGTTATTATTTTTCCTGACTATATAAGTGGTCTGTTATGGCCCTTTGGTTAGTTTGTCAATAAATAAAAAATAAATAAACAAAAAAAAACAAAAATAAAGATTAAAAAAAACCTTAAATCAAATTAAATTAAAACAACTTACCTATCAGTTTGCATAACTGCAATGAGTGTGTTCATAGATTTAGTTCCAACTTCGTAACGAAATTTCTGTTGGGAACGTTATTGAACAATTACTAAATTTAAAACCTTCTGCAAAAGTAATTATAATTAACAAACGTAGACGAAATTTTTTTTTTAAATTTAGCATTGCTAAAAATATAAAAAAAAAGTGTTTTTTCCAACACTGAAAAATACACAACCAAAAAAAAATTGAAAATTTCAGTGGAAACATTAAAATCATAATGCAATAAGTTATATAAGAATTACACAAATCATTTCAAAAACATTGCTATTGAAAACTTTTGAAAACGTAACTTTAAAATGGATAAACAGCTTTAGTCTCTTTTATACACTGCATCTTAACACCCAAACTGAAAAAAACATCGTCCGGGGCATGACATGAAACTGCATCCACGCTGTCTTGCGTGCTTTTGAGCAAGAGGCTAGGCTCACCGCTTATAACTGGTGGTTGTCGTCAGGATGGGTGTCCGGATGTAAAAACATTTCCCCAAATTACTCTTATGCCATCACAAAGAAAAACAACGGCCCCTAGTCCCCAGCAGGCCTTAAATGGTCAAGGGGTGCCAAGAATCCCTGGGAAGTATGCAATAGCGGAAGAATGTTGCAGAAAAATTCAGAATGGCCCCTCTATGGTACTAAGACTTGGAACGCTCAATGTTGGATCACTGACTGGCCACAGCATGGAAATCGCAGAATGCTCGAGCGTAGAAGGATTGACATCTGCTGCCTTCAGGAAACCCGATGGAAATCGAATGGTGTCTGTCATGTCAACTCAGACAAAGAAAAATATAAACTGTTCTGGAATGGTCAAAAGACGGCCAAAAATGGTGCTAGAATTTTTGTCAGAGAGCCGCTATAGCCTAAGAAGTACTGGATATTAAAAGGAGTAATTCACGTCTCATGTGGATCAAGCTTCGCCTAGAAAAGCAAACAACGATTATTTTTTCTGCATACGCACCACAGACAGGCGAATCAGAAGAGATGAAAAATGACTTCTGGACTGCATTCGCTGACACTATCTCAACAATACCAAAATCTGAAACAACCATGATTGGAGGCGATCTAAATGGCCACGTTAAAGAAAAAACAGATGGTTTTGACAACGTACATGGCGGTTTTAGCTATGAAGAACGGAATGAAGATGGCAACCGCATCCTTGAGTTTGCTGAAAGTCACGAGTTTTGTTTACTGAACACATATTTTAGAAAGAGGTTGGAACATCTCATAACATACAAAAGTGGACCATCAGACACGCAAATTGATTTCTTCGCTGTCAAGCAACAACACCGAAGGCTATTCAAAAACGTCAAAGTTATACCTGGCGAATCATGTGTCGCCCAACATAGACTCCTTGTGGCGGACCTGGATGTCGAACTGTCATAACATAAGTCTAAACAAATGCCTCGGAGAATCAAAACGTGGAAGCTGAAAAGCAATATTCATCAAGAAAAATTTCAACAGATTGTCGCAACACAGTTAGACCACCAATCGCAAGCCAGTACAGATTGGAGTACATACAAAACCTGCAACTACAGTTTGTGGGAAAACTGGTACAAAACGTCAGCATGAACGGGACACTTGGTGGTGGAATGACAGTGTACGAAATGCAATAGCTGAAAAGAAAGTTGCATAAAAGCAATGGCAAAAATCAAAGTCTGTTGATGACCATAAAATTTTCCGTGAGAAGAACAACTATGCAAGACGTCAAGTTGCACTGGCTTGGACAGATCAGCGCAGAGAGTGACTCACTTAAAGCAAAGGTGAACAAATGAAATCTCTGTATCGTATAGCAAAACAAGCAAAGCCTACGAAACAAGACATAGTTGGTGCCTCATGTATCCAAAATGACAAAAATGAGATGGTTATGTATACCATTACTAAGACTCTCGTCAGCACAACGGTTGGAAACACAGATGCATTTGACATCGGCGTTGGAGTTCACCAAGGCTCAATTCTCAGTCCACTATTATTTATAACTGTGATGGAAGAAATCACAAAACCGATACGCACTGGTGACATTTGGAATCTAATATATGCTGATGATGTCGTCTTAACAGCCATGTCTGAGCAGAATGCAGCACAGATGTTTGAAGATTGGAACACCAGACTCGCCGATCATGGATTTAAAGTCAACATCAGCAAAACCAAAGCAATGAACACTAATGAATCCATCCAATCCACAGCTACTGGACGATGGCCCTGTACAGTTTGTAAAGCTGGTGTAGGTAACAATTCAATCAAGTTTCCGCAGTGTAACCAGTGGTGTCACAAACGTTGTTCAAAAATAATTGGTACTTCATCTAAAGTTTCCAATTTTGTTTGTCCTGCTTGCATCAATCCACAACAACAAATTCAAAATAGCAATGTTTTTGAAGCCATTAAGGTTGTGAAAGTCACATCGTTTTAATATCTAGAAGATGTTCTGGATTGTACTGGAACAGCTGAAGCTGCCGTTCGAGCACGCATACGTGCAGCCTGGAATAAATGGCATCTCCTTGCCTCTATATTGATGCGGCGTGACATCCCACTACCACTACAATCAAGATTTTATAAATCTGTGATACGTCCGGTCATGTTATATGGTGCAAAAACATGGCCAATGAAAACCAAACTGGAACAACAACTTCAACGAACCGACATGAAAATGCTCCGATGGATGCAACGAATTAGTCTGAAGGACCACATCAAATCTACCGAAATCCTGCGTCGTGCCGGTTTAGATGATATAAAGGACAAATGCCGGCAACATCGTCTGCGGTGGTTTGGTCATGTAAAACGAAGTGGAAACAGTGCCATAACTTCTCTTGCAGATGTTGAAGTACCTGGCACACGTCCCAAAGGTCAAGGATACAACTGATCGTCTAATTTGGCGCAAAAAGTTGATGGCAAAGAAAACAACGTCCTACCTAGGGGAACCGGGTCTCTGGACGCAAAACGAAGATAGATTGATTGATTGAAACTGAAAAAAATAACTTAGCGAGAGTGTCTTCTCAAAATGTGACGCAACATATTGTTAGTTGAAATACATTTTTTGCAAAATTTGTGCTAAAAAAGAAAACCTTTGAAAGAGATTTAAGAGCCCTAACAGCATCTCTTCTATCTTCTAGTAATGTTGAAGAATTGACACGGTCAGTTAATCGTTCAACCTATAAAAATTTAAAACTTCAATAAAATATAAACCTTTTTAACATCAACAAAATTCCAACTAAATCATTATGAGCTAATAAATTAACAATTTAAACAAATCTTTTAAAAACTTTTAGTAGAATAACATAAATGAAATAAAAAACTGATTTAGAATAGAAGAAACTAAAAAATTTGATAAAAAACAGATTATGTCAACAGAATAGTATAACAAACCAACAAAAACATAGACACCAATATACCAATATAGACCAATATCAATAATTATTTTGAGAAATTTTAAAACATTAAGTGATCTCGTCAATTGGATCAAACAAATTTGACAATGAGATGAGTAAATTTGTATATGATGTAAATACATTTTAAAGTGCTGAAACACAATGATCTGCGTGTGTATTCACATGCTGATGATATACAGATTATCATTAGTGCAGATGTGCAGTCGGTGACGGCAATAGTTGAATTAGTATCAGAGAAAATAATGTGCTTAAAAAGTTGGATAGAGATTGAAATTAAATGAGGATAAAACACAGGTGATGTTGATCGGAGCCAGACAACAGCTCTCGAAAACTGATGCGGACGCCATGAGATTTGGGTCGGTGATGGTGCCACTCTCTGGTGTGGTGAAGAATTTGGGTTTTTGGTTGGATAGTACATTAAACATGCATCAGCATGCGAGTTATCTGGTAAGGGATTGCTCTTTTCAGCTTCGACAGCTTGGCCGAAAGAGCTTCCCTTTGATTAGGACACAACAACATCATTGATCCATGCATTCGTGGTCAGTCAAGTTGACTATTGCTGAGTAGATGCCCGAAGTCAACAATGCATGGACTAAAGTCATTACAAAACCGTGCAGCAAAGCTTGTTGTTCAAGGGAGAAAATACGATCATGTAACTCCAATTTTTCATGAGTTACATTGGCTACCAATTGAAAGCAGAATCGTATTCAAAGTTTTGGTGACGGTGAAGCGATGTATCAGAGGTGTGAATCCGAAATACTTGATAGATTAGTGTCAAAAAACACCGGAAACCGGAAAGGGTAGAGTCCTAAGGTTTCCAAAAACAATAACCTTCAGATACCGTGGGCTAAGTCATCGACGGTTTCAAGAAGTTTTGCGGTGTACGGTCCAAAGATTTGGAATAGTTTACCAACAGAATTGAAGACCAATGAAATTGAAAAGACTATCTTTAGGAAGAGAATAAAAGCGCACTTGTGGGATAAAGCGTTCATGAGAACTTGAATGGGCGCTATATAAACTCTACGTAGGACGGCGGTAAGGATTAGTGATGTATAGTATGTTCAGGTTGGTTTACATCAGAGTTCGGAAATAAAAAGTTTAGTATGATTAGTAGGAAGATCTGAAGTGGATTTCCATGAGAGATATTATAAACTGATGATTTGGTTCATACAGAGGAGAATGAGGAAGAACTGAAAAAAAAGCTCTCCGTGTAGAAAATACCGAGGGAAGAAAGTATTTTAAGATAAATATTGATAAGACTAAAATTAGGTGGACAGTAGAGGATTTAGATACTCTTGAATGTGGTAAATCCCCCCTATACAGTGTGTGCTAAAGGTGTCAGAAGAAATTCCATACTATGTGTAAAATGTAATAAATGGATGCACAAACGATGTAGTGCTTTGAAAAGAGACCTTAACAAAAGCAAGTAATTTGTCCTTAAACAATTTAAGTTGAAGTTACTAAGCAAGCTGATGACACAAAATTACTTAAAAATTAGGTCATAATAACATAAAATCAATACATTCAGGTGAATGTTCAAAGTGCTTTATTATATATCACTCCTTTATATAAAGTGTGATTGAATGTATCTGTTATCTGTCCAAATCTAAGTTTCAAAAAACTATTCATAGAATAAACAAAGATTATTAAGTTATCAATTAAATAATTGCTATATGACCACTAACCTTTAATTTAACTATCAAATTAACTTTCTATCATATCTGTAAAACTAAAAAAAAATAAATGCTGGCAAACGAAAAACTCGGGACTGATCTACAAATTTCTATTCATTTTGTCAGTAATAAAAAATTAATTAATTGATAAAATAACCTGGGAAATTAATTAGATTATATTACAAGTTACTTTGAAATTTGTGTATGTATAACAATATAAAATATAAAAAATAACAACAACCACGTCATCCATCCTCTACTACCACCAATTAAAACTACTACACACAACCTTCATCAATGCAAGTCAAGTCAACTATGAAGTCGCCACCTAATCAACATATCAGGAAAAGACCCTCATCACAAGACACCTCAAACATATTAGCACTCAATAAAACTTAATCATTCACACAACCTAGTCTTTATTTATTTATCACCTCACTAACTGACTGTCAACCATCTAGTCTATTAACAAATTACTTTATTAATTTGCCTTTTTATGCCATTACTTTACTTTATTGTCAATACTTTTCATGTTTAAACATTTTTCTTTTTCTGTTATATTCATTAAATTTTTTTACCATTTTATACTACTGCCTTGCATGCTGTAACAGTTTCTGCATCTGTCAGATCCTGATTTTTTTAATTTAATTAAAGAATAATAAAAAAAATATCAGAATTAAAATCCTTGACTTAGCAGCTGAAAATAAAAATCATTGTTTCAAATTGATTGTTTGGTTGAAAAATAATTTAATTAAGTTCGCTTTAGTTTTAGTATTAATTGATTTAAAAGTTTAAGTTAGCTGCTGTTGTTAGAGTTGTTACTGTTAGCCTTAGCCCTTTAATCTTTTATTTCAACCTTATTTTCAAGAATGTTCAAGAAGAGCTGAATTTCTAAGCATTTTTAAAATGAAACCCATTAAAAAATACTTTACAGTTTCTGCTTCCGTCGGTTCTAAGCCTGCTTGAGGTCCCGCTAGATACTTTCTGAAAAGATCCATCTTGTCCCGTCAGAAATGGAGAATCATTCAAAGCCTTCAAAATGCAAACTTCTACTTTTACACGTGTCAACTAAACTTGAAGCGCCTAATTTAAATTATAAACAAATAAAGTAAAAAAAAGACGATTGCTAAAGCTCCTTGAATCAACCATCAATATTGAGTAACTAAAAAAGACTAAAAAAGTAAGATGAATTGAAAAATATAACTTGATCTAAACCCTTGATTTTATTCATAATTTAAATAAGATTATTGATTTAATTTTTATTAGACTGAAAGTTTTTAGTTAACTCAACATCACTGAATTATATGCTTGATATTATTGATATATATATAAGAATGGCTTTATAGTGTTGACCTTTTTCTCAAGGTCAGGAAACTTGGAAGCAAACTTTTTTAGCACCAAATTGTCAATGAGTTTTTCAGTTTTCCAATCTATATTTAGCTTCTTCCCTGTGCCACCGGCGGCATTCTTGTAAAGATTTTTTAGCTGCTAAAATCATTCTGTGGCAGTTTTAATCGATTTTTAACTTAATAATTTAACTGAATTATGTAAAATTTTTGGAATCTTTTGTTATTTGATCCATTTTGATTTTATAAAGTTCATTTGTTTAAAAGTTTTAAAAATGTTACATTGTGCCAGAAGACACTAGGCCCAGACTAGTAGAAGAAAAGAGGTTTGGCTTTTTTTGTATTTGTATTTTAAATTTTTGACTTTTTATTTTTTTGACTATCGTTAATTAATGTTCAAATATTTTTTAATTGTTTTTATATTATGGGTTTATTATTATTGTTAGGATGCCATTGTTAATCAATCAATCAATCAATCAATCAATTAGCTTATAAAGCGCTATTTCCGCGATGTTCAACAGCGCTCCTCAATGAATTTTGAAAACAGATGGGTCTTGAGATCCGCTCTGAACTTCGCAAGTGATGGAGAAGTAGTCAGAGAAGTAGGTAGAGAGTTCCAGAGAAAAGAACAAGAAAAAGCAAAAGCAGATTTGGCAAAAGTGTTTAACACGAGTTAAGAAAAAGCGAGAAGAAGACGATCGTAAACCGGGGCGTTTAGGTTCAATTAATATATCTGATAAATACTTAGGAAATAATTTAGACTTATACATGAACGTGCAAATTTTAAAAATTATTCTATATTTTATAGGTAGCCAGTGCAAGAGAACAAGATCTGGAAATATATGAGAAAAGAAAGAGGCACGAGCATAGAGGATAGAGTCAGGAAGACCATAGTAAAGCGAGTTACAATAATCAATCCTAGATAAGACTAACGAAGTAACAAGAAGGAGAAGAGCAGGATCATCAAGAAAAGGCAAAAGTTTTTTTATTCTACGTAGATGAAAGTAAGAGCTTCTAGCAACACTATTAATCTGAGAAGAGAGAGAGAGACATAGTAGAATCAAAGATAAAACCTAGACTACGAAACTTATGAGAGACATCAAGAGTTTTAGAATCAGGTAAGATAATAGGAGGAATAGTAATAGAGTGTTTAGATTTATTAAAACAAATTAATTCAAACTTAGAAGGATTAAGTTTAAGACACATAGAGTCAGACTAAGCGATAATTGAAGAAAGACATAGAGATAAATTATGAAGAACACTATTGAGATTAGATGGAGGAAAAAAAGTATAAATGTAAGAATCATCAGCATATAGTTGACTAGAGAAAGAAAAGTTATTAATAATACGAGGTAGTCAGAAGTATAGAG